AGGCAGGCGGATCTCTGTGAGTTCGAGGCCAGGCTGGACCAACAGCCTCCAAAACAATACAGAGAAACCCTGTCTCGTAAAACCAAAAAAAAAAAAAAAGTACAGCATCTTAGAGTCTTTGCTGAGAGTGAAAATGGGACAGTGTCAAGAAAAGTCTCTCATGTAATGAGACAAAGTAAATTGTAATCTAATCAGTCAATGTTCCATGAGGACTGCAAAGAATATTCTACCAGCATCACAGGAAAGCAAACAGCCACTTTGGAACAGACAGTGGCAGCCCCTTAGGGTGCTAAGAGTTGTGTTCCAAAGACTAGAAGCCACAACACCCCAAGCCTATTGCCCAGGTCGGTCTGGACTTTGCTAAGGATATTCTTGGTTTTGGAGTAGGAATTATTTTTCCTCCATTCATCAAGTATTCAGCAAGCCTCAAGTTGATCTAGCATTTATGATTCCTTGATCATTTGGTGTGTGTGTGTGTGGTAATATAGAGGTTCTATTTATCATAGGTGAATATGGAATAATTTAAAATATCAGTTTAGCCCATTTTCATTTACTTATGTCTACACACTGCAATAAGAACACAACAGTTTGAATATAAGCAAGTATTTTCAAGGTAGCTTGCCATTAGGACTTTTAGGAAAACTACAATATATATTTGTGTGTGTGTGTGTGTGTGTGTGTGTGTGTGTGTATTACTACCAGTACCTTTCCATCCAGATGAAAATCTTAACAACTCTTTGTCTGTTTAAAGGAGCTGTGCACAAAAGAAGGGGACAAAGTTCATCTGCTTAGTACTTCTCTATAGGTTAGGGTTGGGGCGGAGTGATGCCTCAGTGGTCAGTAGCATTTGATGCTCTAGAAGAGGATGCAGGTTTCATTTGCAACACCTACAGAATGGGTCAAAGCTGCCCTATTTGTGGAGGACCTGAATTCCCCTTCTGATATTCACGGGTGTCAGGCAGTCATATGGTACACCCAAACTTATATGGTCAAATCAGTCATACACATAAAAAAGAAAAATTTAAGTAAACCCAAGATTATAATTCATATCTAAGGTGAGCTATGAAAATGTTACTGTACATTTATAGATGTTAGCAATCTATGACCTCTTCTTAACAATGCTTCAACAACTTTATATAACTTAATGACCTGCATCCTCTTTGTTTTCTCCAAACCCTTACTTACACTTGGCCTCATTCTTTTTTACTTCTGTCTTAAGAGATTCAACTGCTCCAATAATTAAGTGGTACCAAGAGGACATTCCTGTATACATGCCTGGAATCCTCAAACAATATATAAAAATGTCTTATTAGCAAGGGCCAATGGAAAAAGCTCGTTTTCTAGAAACGTCACATGGATCGTGGAAATATTAAGCTACACAAAGTAGGGATGTCCTATGATATTTTATTGAGGGGGAAGTCATTAATATGAGAAGCCAAGAAGGCTGAGAACCAGAGCTCCACTCACTGCTCTCTGAGACTTGACAAGAACCCAAAGCATGCCCCCCAGCATTTTTATCCATCGTATGGTCTACGTTTCTGTGACCACGCCCAAACGGGTATGTAAGATCTCTCCCAACACACATGTAACTGACCCCAAATATGTTTCTCATCTATGATTTCCAATGGGACAGTTCTAGGAGAGTAGAAATTATTACTTGACAATCCATTTCAGTTCAGTGAGTTAGGAAGCTCAAATATTCCCACTTGACAGTGGTAACACTTGTGTAGTGTAAATCAGTAGTTAGGTCAGACTCAGCTGTCCACTTCCTGTGACCCATTCTATCAAGTCTTCAAATAAATAGGTGTTTACTATGTGGGAGACATGGGCTAAACTTTTCTATTTTCACTTTAACATGGCTTAAACTTTCCTATTTTCACCTTAAGTGCAAAACTGTGTGGGAAATTACAAATCTAGAAGATGTCATAATCTGCCTCCAGTATTTCTTCCTGGTCCTATGCACTGCTCCTTCAACAGAATTAGTGAAGTATGTCTTGTTCGAAAGGAGCTCATCTGAAAGACTGGGAGCATGATACAGTGCAGCATGCCCCAATTAACTTAGAAAAATCTGTTGATTTTATCTTATTTTCTTTAATCTCTCCCCCAAAAGGCAAGTTTATTAACTGTGCCCAGGAGAGAAAAGCTAATGAAATAACAGTGACAAATGATGATCACATTTCTAGGATTTTAGTTCTTTCAAAACAAACAAGCACATATATACATACACACACATGCACCCAATGTAAATAGATACTCGTGCACAGGTACACAAGCAAGCTTCCACACTGACATACATATCTTCATACACTCCTAGACACAGACACACAATTACTCATAAATAAGTACACAGACAAATACAGGCAGACAGTTTCACATAAACAAATACACATACAGAGACATACAGACAAGACTCAAACACAAATATTAATATATGCATATGTTCGTTTCTGCACGGAAACAAACTTATGCAGACAACACATGCACAGTACCACACACAGAATAAATAGACACAGAAATGGATATACACAGACTAAACACAGATATATATCACAAAGAACCACATAGTCACACAGAGAAGCACACACACAAGTGCATGGGAGCGTGTGTGAGCCCGCACACACACACACATACACACACACACACACACACACACACACACACACACACACAATGATTACAGATGAAAGACCCCTACCCAGGACCCCCTAGGAAAAGAAAACCAAGACCAGGCCGTTTCCTAATGAAAAAAACCCAGACCAGGTGCCTCGCCCAGCTGGCAGGATGTCAAACAGGATCTGTGGTCACCAGAGCAGTCATGGGAACCGGATAATAATTGCTGAAGTGTGCCAGGGTCTTTTATGTGGCAATACCAGGACACCTAGTCCTTGGCAACTACCCCTGCCCCCAGCTGTGTCTATGATCACCATAGTAGTCATGGGACCCAGATAATAATTGCTGAAGCGTGCTGGGGTCTTTCATGAGGTAATACCAGGAAACTTAGTCCATGGGAATTACCCCTGCCCCCAAAATGAGCCAATGAAATGCCTGTTGCTATGCTGATACTTATGTAACCATTAAAACTCTATAAATATTGTGCTCCCTGCAAGCCCAGTATGCTCTGCACCCGAGTTGCAGTAGCATCCGCAGGCGCCTGTGTACTCAATAAAACACCTCTTGCATTTGCATCCAGTGGTCTGGCCCCAGTTCTTGGGCAGAGGATTCGGTTCAGTGCCCGGCGCTTTGATGCTGAGGTCTTTCACAGGTACTGAGCTAAATCCCAGTGTCATTTCTATGTGATCATTATTACAGTGTATAGACAGCAAAGAGCTTGGAATCAGCAGTGGGCCAGAATACTTGAGAACAATAATGCAAACAATCAGGCACAGTGCCCTTATATTTTTGTTAACTACTGAACTTGTTTGTTTCACTGTAGGAATTCATGAAGAAAGACTGATTATGCTTCCAGTGTTAGAATATCTGTGAAATTGCTGAGATCCTCTCTAATGAAATCACTGATCTTCATTGATAAATTCTGGCTTTCTCTCCACTGCTTTCTACGCAGACTTACCAGCCGTCTAGAAAAAAATGCTAAGTAATTCTTATATTTGGGGAATATTTTGTAAGCCTTCTTGTTTGAGCATCTCACAGACTCTTTTTTTGTTTTTTGTTTTTGTTTTTGTTTTTGTTTTTTTGAGACAGGGTTGCTCTGTATTGTTTTGGAGGCTGTCCTGGAACTCGCTCTGTAGACCAGGCTGGCCTCAAACTCACAGAGATCCTCCTGCCTCTGCCTCCCGAGTGCTGGGATTAAAGGCGTGCACCACCAACGCCTGGCTCTGACAGACTCTTAAAGGATGACACCAAGTGCCATGCAGTGGAATACTGTAGAATGTAGTCTTTCTTCTGCCAGCCGCTTTGGTTTTTCCTCCGCCAACTGCCTGGGTTCTGCCACAGTTGTAGTCCCCAAATAACACACAGGACGCTATATTAATTATAAGCTGTTGGCCATTTGCTTGTTTCTTACTGGCTAGCTCTGACTTAAGTATTTATCCCATAATTGTTAATCTAAATATTTCTCTTACCGGAGAAAAGGGTCCAGACCTCTTATTCCTCTGGCAGGCTCCATTGTTTCTGCATCTGCCTCTCTTTCCCAGAATCCTCCTTGACTCCTATCCCACCTATCTTGATTCCCTATTGGCCAACAGTGCTTTATTCATCAACCAATAAGAGACAGATTTACAGAATGGCATCTCCCATCAGAAGACAAAGTCCCTCTTAGCAGTCAGAATTTTCCAATTGTCACAATCTACCAATTGACTTGTTGAAGAAACATGTCATGTATGGCACAGACCACAGCATATACATCATTGCATTCCTCATAAGTACCATCATGAAGGGCCAAGTCAAAACTTTGTAGTGCTACCCATTCTAGTGAAACATTCCGTGAAAAAATTTCCAGTGTCTGTCAGTACCCATGATGATGACCATCGTGCACATCTTTGTTACTATGCCACAGGGATCTTTACAGCAGATTCTTGATTTCCCCAATTGACTAGGTTCAGATCCAGAGATCTATGGGTTCCTGGTGCTTGAAACAATTTAAATCCAACATTGCTTTTGGTTTCAGTGTAGCTGATTGCTGAAACTGACAATTCAGAGACAAAGACAAATTCGGAGATGTAGAACTGGCCTCTCTGATTTTTCAGTACCCTACTTATGGGTATCTACTACCCAGCATAGATGGCCATGTGTCCCAGGATAATATTAATCAGAAGCCATCCTGGATTTTTCATTTTTTCTTTTCATATGTGTGTGTGTGTGAGCATTAGTGTTCATTAATCTGTGTATAGGTTTAACTTTATACAGGTCTGTGTTTGGAGGGCACCTTCCATCTGTGTCATTGTTGGCAGAAGCACAAAGATGTTCTTTCTTATCATTCTTTCACATAGGGTCTGTCTTGGTGACTTTTCAATTGCGAGACAAGAGACTTTGATGGAGGCATCTATAACAGAATGTATTTAATTTGGGTATTAAGTTTCCAGAGGGAAGCCGGGCGTTGGTGGCGCATGCCTTTAATGCTAGCACTCGGGAGGCAGAGGCAGGCGGATCTCTGTGAGTTCGAGGCCAGCCTGGTCTACAGAGCTAGTTCCAGGACAGCCTCCAAAACAATACAGAGAAACCCTGTCTCGAAAAAACCAAAAAAAAAAAAGTTTCCAGAGGGTTAGAGTCCATGATCATCATGGCAGGCAGCATGGCAGCAGGCGGGCAAGTATGAAGCTGGGCAGTCATTGAAAGCTTGACTTTGATCCATAGACACAAGGCAGAGAGAGCACTTGCTGGAAATGGTGCACGTTTTTGAAACCCCAAAGCCCACCCTCAGTAACATACCTTATCCAATAAGGCCATATCTACTATCTTTCCAAAACTGTTCATTCTACGAGGACCAAACATTCAAATACATCATCCTATGCAGGGCTTTCTTATTCAGATGAGCAGACAGTCCTAAATCAACCTCAGAGCTTGCTGAGGTGGTTGTTTTGCAATTCAGTTTGCTCTGGGATCCTCTTTCTCTGAATTCCCAAACTTAATTACATGCAGCCTACCATGCATGGTATCACAAATACTTAGTTTCTCGATCCAGATCTCCTTAAGCTCCTTAAGCATGGTGCTGTCTCTCCAGGGTGGCTTCCTGACTTCTGGAAGGAGCGAGAGGCCAGCCTGGAAGGAAAGGAAAGAGAAAGATGGGAATAAGTAGGTTTACCAATCCTGAATTCCTTATCCCTTCTCTTGCTTCACTTGCCTTAATAATTCTTCGCATTACCTTGATTTTTAATTTTTATGTGTATTTTTGTGTGTCTATGTGTTTTTGTACCACAAGCATGCCTAGTGTACCTGGAAGTCAGAAGAAGTCATTGGATCCCTGGATCTGGAGTCACAAGCACTTCTGAACCACCATATGGCTGCTGTGAATTGAACCCAGGTTCTTGGTTAAGAACCTCAAGTGCTCTTAGCCCCTTGAGCAATCTCTTCTGCCCAACCCAATTCCAGTCTTACAGAGCAGGAATTTGCATGCTCTAATATCAGCTCCATCCTCCTCTGTCAGGTGCCTCCAGCTGCGGCTGCCTCAAGTACTCATAGAAAACACTTGAATCAATCCTCATAGAGTACGTGACTCCGGACCACCCTGCTACCTCTGCTAAATTCCACAAACTGGCCTGAAGCTTAATTATCAGTTAAAGATTAGCTCAACAGAAGACCCCCAAGTCTGCCAGGAGATAGGCTTGCACAATAGGGAAAGATTGAGATAGATAAAGTAAGGACCTATGGTCAGGTTACCTAGCAACACAGGAGGTTCTACCCATGTCCTTTTGCCCTGACAGCTTCCTTGAAGCTGCCCCTCCTTGCTTTCTCCTCCACGCCCTTTAAATATACCTTGGAAAGAATAAAATTCTGCCACGTTGATCAGATACCTGTGTTAGTGTCCTTTCTCGTATCTCCTGTCCCGCATCTTTCTCCTAGGTGCCCTCCAGTCCCCACGTGGAATGCCCCGTGGGTCAGGCTACTCCTGAAGCTTTCCCCATTTCCAATCTGTAGCCTCATTATCTGGGGATTACCCAGGGATGGTCGTCTGCCTTCTCTATGTGGGTTCTGCTTCCTCCTGGTTACAGGGAGCTTCCTGAAATACACAGCCGGGTGCTTCCACTCTAGATCACGTGAGACAGGCAGGTTGTTTGTGAGCAAAGACTTCACCAATCGCTAGCAGGGCTGGTGAGGGAACTGGTCACAAAGCACTTGTCTAGTATGTGTGGGGCTCTCGGGCTGACCCTGAGCACTGCAGAACCAACCCTTGCTAACTTTAAAAATCATGGTGGCAGGCAGCAGTGTGTATTGCTGCCTGGGGGGACAAGCCTCCAGCAGTACAGGACTCAAAGGGAATTCACAGAATCTCTGTATGCTATGATTTTTTAATCTGAGGGGGCTAAGGGAAAAGACGCTCACACTCTCTTGATGGTTTCCTTCAGACCTTTTCTTTATTCTTCTTTTATGTTCTCTGTTCTTTATTTTCCTGGTTATTTCCTCCTATCATTCTTGATGTTTTCCTGATAACTCTATATTTATTTTTATTTTTATTTATTTATTTATTTATTTTGGTTTTTTCGAGACAGGGTTTCTCTGTGGCTTTGGAGGCTGTTCTGGAACTCGCTTGGTAGTCCAGGCTGGTCTCGAACACACAGAGATCCGCCTGCCTCTGCCTCCCGAGTGCTGGGATTAAAGGCGTGCACCACCAACGCCCGGCTTCTATATTTATTTTTGATGTTTTCCTTCTAGTTCCTCCTAACTCTCTCATTCTTGATTTTTTTTCCTTCTAACTCTCTCATGCTTGATGTTTTCCTTCTAAGAAATTTTAACTCTTTCTAACTTCTTTAGTCTTTCCCTTTGGCTTATGTACCCCAGCAAAACTAAGATTAGTATTATCAATTAGACATTACAACTTGGGGAGAAATCATCTTCATAATAATCCATAGATAAAAATGCCCAGTAAAATGGGATGTTTCCATGAGATAAACACACTATGTTACAGGCAATGGGGATCTCTACACACCCATTCACATCATGCCAGATACCAGAGAAAAATGGCAGCAGCGAACATGTGAAAACACAGCAGAAGCAATAGACACGCTGCGACCTGTGGTTTTAGGGCCTGATCTATCGAAGATTCACCCATCAGAGATTGTCCTCCTGTTGGGTTCACACCCTGAGTTCAATCGCCATCCACTGCTCCTCCGGCATGACTGCCAGCAAGTGTGTTAGGTTAATCACTGTACAACCAATGCTGGAGTGAGCTCCGGTATATCTGTTAAAGCCAGATAAATAAAATACACTTATTTTCCTCTTTGTAGATGTGATCCAGGTAGTGATAACAGTGCCACAGATGGTTCTACTGGGCTTTTTATAAAATCATGTATGCGTTTGTATTTTTTTTTTATGTGTTTGGGTGTTTTGTCTGCGTGTATCATGTCATCCCCCTGGACTGAGTTTAGGGATGGTTGTGAGCTGTCATGTGTGTTCTGGGAATAGAACCTGTGTCCTCTGAAAGAGCACCCAGGAGTTTTAAAGCTGTTCAACCTCTCCAGCTCTCAGACATTTTTTTCCAGAGGCAGCCTATCATTGAGTATCCCGGGCTGGTTGAAAACTCACTATCTCCAACCGACTGGTCCTGAGTAACAGAGATCAATCTGCCTCTGCCTCCATAGTTCTGGGATTAAATTCATGAACCACTTCTCCTAGAATTCACCAGACATTTTGAAATGTACAAATACGTGTGGGAAATGTAAACTGAATATATTGTCTTTTCTGTCAAAAGGGGAAATAAGACACAATTCCACTTTTTAAAAATGTAAAGAAGCTACTTGGGAGAATTTCAAATTTCTCCAGGGTCAATATCACTTTTGAGGTCAAAATATTCAATAATGGTTTCCTGTGGTGCTCAAAATTGTTCTTGGGTTGTCAACTATGTTGCTTCCAGAATAAATAAAAATTTTTACTTCTCATTTTTTTGAGAGACTCAGACTCATTTCTGACATAAAAAAGCCTCAATTTTCTAGTTCTGTTTCCCTGTGTGGCTTTGGACCCTGTCCTGGAACTAGCTCTTGTAGACCAGGTGGTCTCGAACTCACAGAGATCCGCCTGCCTCTGACTCCCAAGTGCTAGGATTAAAGAAAAGTGTGCACCACCACTGCCTGGCTGTATTTTATTTTCTTTCTTTTGTTATTTGCATTCCTATTGTAAGAAAATGAAAATTTCAAGCATTTATGTTTGCTAAGTTTAAAAACTTGTTCTCTTTCAAAGTCCTTTCCACACTTGAGAACACTCCTAGTTTGAGAAGACTGGGCATTCTCTGCTCTTGTGTGGATTAGTCTATATTGGGCTGCTAGGCATAATTGATTTTCTGTGCTGTTGACTTTCATCTTTTTCACTAATATTTTGTTTGATTTCGATATCTGTCACAAAATGTTGAATGTTGAAGTATCCCAGAATTTCTATTTTCTCCCTACCATTCTATGAGTGATTGTGTCAGTTTCTTGGACACTGGTGAGGAAAATGAACCCATGATGATAATATAGTCTTCTAGTAAATGGTACATTTTATCATTGGTCATTATTCTTCATTTGTGTTTTGAGAGGTTTGTGTTGGATTGTCTGTTGTCTTCCATAACTGTGGCTACCCATGGTCTTTATTGCTGTCCATATTCATGGTGTATCTTTAAACAACTTTCCTCTCGTTCAGTATTTGGTGTCCTAAAAATCTGAAGTGACAAGGGCTAAATCTTCGAGACTGAAGTAATGCAGACCACCAAAGTCATGCTTATTTCTCTAGTTTTGATCCTCTCCTTTAGCCAGCGTCTAGTCAGACTCCTGTCTGCCTGGCTTTTTGGCTAACCAGAGTCCTCAGCTAAATGTCCCCCCTGCAGTGGTCCCCTTTTCCAGAAGGTCAGTGTATTAGGCCTTCAGCTACCACAATTGTTATGGCTGGATCAGGGACTGGCAGTGATTTGGGGTATGGCAGCTTGGTCATTTGCTATGCCAGGACAGCATCTCCCAAGTATCAGTACTTTTCCTGTTATGTCCTGGGGTTTTCCCTGGCTGAGGCCAGGGATGTCCTCTGTTTGATGGTCACCACTGTCATTACGTTCTTCACTGAGGCTCTGTTTGGTCATGCAGCTATTCCTGGTGTTTTGACTAAGTGACATCCCGTGCTGAAGTGTGCAAAATGTTACTATTAAATATGATGTTCCTCTATGTAGCCCCCCAATATTTTTCCAAGGCATATCTTTTTGTCATTTAAATCTATTCACTTTAGTGTTGTGCATAAGACTTGAAATTGTTGCTTCTCCGGTAAATACAATCAAGATCAGTTTAATTTCATTTTTTTCTGGGAATGTCATATATTAAGACCATGCAAACTTTTAAAACTCTGGTTTTGAAATGTTAGCTGGGGTCTAGAGAGATGAGTCAGCAACTAGGAATACTTTATGCTCTTGCAGTTCATAGCTTCCAAGTGGTGGTTCATAACATCCATAATTCCAGTTCCAGAGGTGTTAATGTATGCTTAGGATTTCTCTTTCCTATCCCTCATGGTGGCTTCCATGAATTGAACAAAGACATAGCAAAAATAATTTGTTATGAGCAGACAGACACACACACAGAATCACAGACACACACACACACACACACACACACAGACAGATTCAATGTCATGGAACAGACAATTAGAGGATGGAAAGGACAGGGAACTTCAAGTTTAGAATTCAAATCTGGACACTTGGTCTTAGTTAAATGACCTCAAGGGAAAAATACTTTCATTTCTTTCCTTGACTCAGCTAGATTAATTTTTTTGTGACATGGAGTTAATCACTAACATGTTAAATTCAGGCACATATGCAGAATCTATTAGTTAGTGACACCATTGTTGTTGCATATAGAGAGAAACAATAGAAGTCACCACAATGTGGAATAAACAGTCTTGTAATCTGAAAGGTGCAATAGGATCAGAAGCCTGTGCTTTAGGGACAGACCCCTAGCTCTGCATTTGTATTTCTATGTGCTCACCTCCCTGCAGAGATGGGATGCATATTATCTGTCATGATCATCACAGAACAGCTTAAATTATCTGGTATCAAGTGAGATAAAGAGGAAAAATGACTGCTTTAACGTTTATTGTTAAATTTTGCCATTTCACATGCTAGACCTGACTTAGTGCACTTTGATACCTTACTCCCTACAGTCTTGGCTCATATACATCCTTCAGTGTCTCCCCCACCCCCATTACCTACTCCTTTCTCATCTCCATTCCTATTCGTTTTGTTTTGTAGCACACCAAGATTAGCTATTGACCATCTGTGTTTGGAGCTATGCTTTGGAGCCTGTTGTACAAAACAGAAGACACAACTAAATACAGTGATTCTGCTTTTCCTAAAGTCTATGCATTTTCATAAAGGGTGGGGCGCTGTGAGGCCCTCCCCTTCCTAGATTGTTTGTATCCAGGGATGGTCCTGAGTGAGCCCAGCGTAGGTCAGTACAGTTGCTCTTATAACAACAGCTGTGTGGAGTCTAGAGACTGGCATGTCATGCCCGTTCCCCATCCTTATTTCCTTCTCACTCTTTCTTCTTTAGTATTCACACAGGCCATAGAAGGGAGAGTGTAACTCAGTTGTTTAATGCTGTGGCCATTTACATAGTTTATTTTACAAATCTTGGACAGCCATAAGAGTCTACATTCACCACAGAGTTGTCTTTTTTTCTTTTTTGTTGATTTGTTTGCTTTGTTTTTCGACACAGGGTTTCTCTGTAGCTTTGGAGGCTGTCCAGGAACTCACTCTGTTGGCCAGGCTGGCCTCAAGCTCATAGAGATCCACCTGGGATTAAAGGCGTGCGTCACCAATGCCCAGCACACCACAGAGTTTTCAAAAGCAATTTTCTGTGTTTTTCATAAAAGCCCCTACAGTATGCTATCCAGAAAACAAACTCGTTTCTGAGTTAGCACAGCCACAACATGACCATCTCCCAGCCCAGGGCGACTTCAGCACTGGACTGTCAATGAACTGACCACCAACTTCTGTTCTAAACCCTGAGTTCCTGAAATGTCTCCGCTCACGTCAACATTGCTAATCGTGGAAATGTGGGTATTTGATTTGCA